AAGTGGGCTTTGGGCACTTCTTCTTAAGTGCTCTGATTTTACTTAGTTGCTCTTCTGAAATACAGGAAGGTGGTAATTTAAACACTCTCCTTTGAGCCTGGGATAGTGATGCATACCCGTAATCCCAGCTCTTGGGAGGTAGAAAGAGGAGGATCTGGAATTTAAAATTATCCTTGGCTATAAAGCAAATTTGAGGACAGCTTGGACTATATAAGATTCTATATTGTAAGAAAAGTAAATTTGGGATATATTGGAAGTCCTTGCCGTGCAAGTATAAGGATGTGAATTCAATTCCCAGGACTCAAAAAAAAAAAAAAAAGTTGGACCCCTCGGTAAGGCCCTGTAATCTCAGCCGGGGGAAGGTGGAAGCAGGAGGATTCCTGGGCTTCATCCAGAGCCCCTATCTCAAAAACTGAGGTGGAGAGCAGTTGAAGAAGACATCTAACACTGATCGCTGGTTTCTCCACACAAATCCATGCACATGAACACATTTCCACACCACTGGACACAAACGCAACACACACACACACACACACGTAAATGAATTTGAAAACATCGAACAAAATACATCTCCTTTGAACACATATCATCTTAGCACACTGGGTAGGTGACTTAGCAATCTGGGTCACCATGTCCCATGTCACCTGGGACATTTTATTAATATTCAGATTAATGAAGACATGGTGCTTTATGCTTCCTTGCTAGCCTATAGCTACTGATAACACGAACGGTGCATCAGTGAGTAAAACCCAGAACCTGACTTGCTCTGCTTGGGTGCTGGGGAAATCCACCATGAGTGAAGGGCTAGGGTAGGGTATAGGAGAATCTGGACCTCCAGCTCTTCACAGTTTCCTCATGCCCATGCATGAAATGCACTGTTGATGACCTTGTCCAATGTTTTAGCTTCCAGACAGAAATGCAAACTGCTGCCAGGGGGATCTGTGTCACGAAACATGTAGAAGACATTTGGAAATGGCAGAACACCGCACAGACTTAGGACTGACAGGACCTTGTAGAGGGGGATGCACCCCCTAGCTAAGAATTCTCCAGCTCAAGTATCTCTCCTCTCCTACACTTCCAGCCAGCCCCACCTTCACTTTTCTGTGTAGAGGGAAGGGCTTTGGCAGTCTGCCAGTAGAACAGGTGTCCTCCCCCTCCCCCACCCATCTAATCGTATAATAATCTTCTGCCCCAGTGTCTCTGAGCGATTAGGGCACATCTCATGTTCTCTCCTCTCTATCAAGAGGAAGCCAAGAAATCCACCTCACCTGGGAAGTGTAATAATTGCTTAATGGTGTCCTGCCTAGAGTGTGATATTTATATTATAAGATGGGGATTTAAGTCTAAAAATAAAGGGAGTTGTCAGAGCTGCGGATTATTGATAACGAGTATAAATGACAGTACTGACAGCTAACATGAAGAGATCTGATTGTGTCCGGGCTTCCAAGCTGGAAGGGAGGTAAAATTAATAATTAGGTCACTGACGTTCCTCATTCAAGGAGGGAGGAAGGCATCCTCCCGGCTCATGGTTCACCCTTTTGGCCTTCACATAAAGACAGCTGCAGGTTGGAAGCAGCCTGTAACTACAGATGCACCAGGCACAGAGGGATGAAACTACTAATAGAATTAACAGCTTACGAAGCCACCGCCAGGTCAATGCAATCAAAGAATAGGGGAAATAAAAGTAACTTGTTAGCCAGGGGCAGTAGTGCACACCTTTGATCTCCACGCTCGGGAGACAGAGGCAGGAGGAATGCTGTGAGTTCAAGGCCACCCTGGTCTACATAGTGAGTTCCAGGACAGCTAGACCCACATATAGTGAGATGCTGTCTCAAAAACGTAACAGTTATTTTCCACAGACCACCCATGCCCAATCAGAATAATAAAGGCTGGGTTGTCCGTGTGATGTCTATGGCATCCCAGGGAACAGTTGTTCAAATCTAGAAGGTTGGAGGTGGCGAGTCTTTCTCTTCATTTTGCATCAACCGTCCTCATGATCTCTGAGCCTCAGTTTCCTCATCTTCAAAAAGGAGGAGTTTGGACAAGAAGACTTCTGAGGTGGCCTCCAGTTTTGACATTCTGAGGCTCAATTCCACTGAGGTGCAATTCCACTGGTCTTTGTTAAGGCAGAAGCAGCACCCGACCTCTGGAGTGTCCAAGTCACCATTTTGAGCATCAGTGGCCTTTGTCCGAAAGAAAGGCCTGATTAATCGACCACCACAGGACAACTGTCACCGCTTTCTTCTTCATCCCCCAACCCCCAACCACCATATTTCTCTCCTTGGGGAGTTAAATAAGACTGGTCAGTTTTGATTTCTTTTTTTTTTTCTCCTTTTCTGCTTTTTATCTCCACCTCCAGCAGAGATTTGGGTTTTTTTCATTTACTCTCACTGCGGGTTTCAATCTTCCCCCACTCCCAAAACAATATCCTCTATCCCATCGTACAAAGTAAAAGGAAAGCTACAAATTGGCTCCGCCTACTTAAGCTTTTGAGAAACAGTTTTGCTGTGCCAGTCTGTACAAATCTAAATTTGGGGTCTGTTTGGCGATGCCTCTCTATACCTCAGAGGAATCTTCTAGCTTTTCTCCATTTCAAAGCATCTGGGTCCACACAAAATACTCTGGAAGAGAGAGTTCCCTCCCACCTTTAGCAAAAATTCTGTCTGTCACCAGGAAAGAAGAGGCTTTTCTGTGGAAATCATCCCCGTGCTGGCTATAAAAGCCACTCACATCTCAGTATGAAGTCAGCTAACGCTCTCCCTTGTCTTTGTGAGTGAGAAGCAAAATCCACACAAAGGTATAAAGAGTTGATCCATATAAAGATTGCTCTCCGGATTCCATTGGGCCGAGGCTTTCTGATGACTGCATCTTTGCTGTGGACAGCTGTGCAATTGAGACCACAGCAGGACTCCAGATGTGCTGGGGCCTGCCAGGCAACACACTTAGAAGTTTGGCCAAATCAGCCCCAGATAATCACCAGAGAAGAAGCAGAGGGTGGGGGTGGGGGGATTACAGGGCTGGTCCAGAGGCTTTGTGTAATTCAGGAGCTGGATCTAGGCTCAGGACAGAGAGCGAGCAAGTTGGAATGGAAGGACTTCAGGTCTCCTTTGTGTTTAGCATATGAGTTCCTTTCCGTGGCTGAGAAGAGCTGAGAGGGATGTGATAGAACATCACATAATGGCCAGTTGTCTGTGCCCATGAACCCAGTGGGAATCTTGGCCCTGCCTCTTAACTAGCTGTGTGACTTTGAGGATACTTTGTAAGACTTCTGCTCTCAAACTCCCAAGAGCATGCTTGACAGGCATTGTCATAGCACTGCTTCTTTTACCAGGAGGAGTTAAAGGAGCAGCTAAGACACTAACTAGACCAAGATCAAACAGCTAGGAGATGGTAGGGACCGTTGCAAACCCCAGTTCATGGCTCCTTCCACCACACTCTGTGTATCTCAGAACAATCGCTTGGTTGAGTAGCTCTTGAGCAGAGCCTAGAATCTGAATATTAATAAAATGTCCCAGGTGATATGGGACATGGTGACTCACACCTGTAATCCCACATTTAAGAGGCTTACTGAGAGTCTGAGGTAAGCCTGGGCTACAGAGTAAGATCCTGTCTCAAACATATATACGTGCATACATACATACATACATACATACATACATACAAATAAGTAAATACATAAAATTTTCAAGCCTCAGGTGGGTGTTAAGATGGAAAGACATATTTGAGAAAAGGTGTCTCCTGCCTTGCAGAACTCACAGAGATGCTTCTCACTCCTCATGTATTTCCTCTATGTACACAGAATGAAAAACACAAACCATCTGGGACATGATAAGAACCTCAGAGAGAGCCACCTAAATAGAACCTAATGGTTTTTTTTTTTTAAATCTCTGTCGTGTGTGATGTGTACGTATGTGTGTATGATGTATGTATATGGCATGTATGCATGTGTATGATGCATGTGTGTGTGCATATGGTGTGGGTGTGATTTATGTGTGCATATGTTCCTTCCTGTAAATATAGGTGTGTGTCTTGGTGCAGATGTACAAGCCAGGGGACCACCTTGTGAGTCAGCTCTAGCCTTCTTCCCTGTTTGTCACAGGCATCCTTTGCCTTTTGCCACTACATACGCTGGGATGGCTGATTGGAGAGCTTCCAGGCATTCACCTTTCTCTGCCTCTCATCTCTAAATAGGAGCACAAGATTACAGGCACAGCTTTAATGTATTCTGGGGATTCAAACTTGGGTCTTCTCTTGTGTGGCCGGTGCTTTACCTCCTGAGCAATCTTGCCAGCTCCTGGTGGTTACTCTTTGACTGAACAAACTAACCGACTTTCCACAAAATTTCCGAAAAGAAAGCTGAGTCTCCACACACTGTCTCTAATAGAGATGGCTGAGAAGACCCATAACAGTCCTCTCGAGGGCACGTTTTTAGCAAGACGAGTCTGCTCAGAGTGGCGCGGTTCTTCCTTGGCCATTGCTAGAAATCGGGGAGCTTTTGGAGGGTGGCGTAATGTAGACATACAGAGGGAAATGCAGAAAAAGAACCCCTCGGGTGGGAGCAAAAAAGACACAGATGATTTAAAATGTGTTTGGTGCCTCTTGAACATAATCGGCCAGGAAACTTTGTTTTAACTTTGGTTTTTATGGTCACTTTGGGGAACCACAAAGAATAGTGTGACTGCAGCTATGCTGGGAGAGAGAAGTGTGTCCTAAAGCATTTAGGTACAAAGGCAGGTGGCTTCAGATCGACTGCAGGTTACGAAATGGAAAAGCCCATTGTCGTTTTGGACTTTGCAGGGAGCCAAGAGTAAATAATACTTCTCATATAGCTTTAGCCTAGTGCTATCTTAATTGCAATCTCTGGTGAGATTTGGAGTTATGCGTTTTTAACAAGCAAACCATAAAATAAGGTTTAATCTCCCCGGAGCCCTGGAGTTAATTTATCTGTCCACAGGCTAAGATCTTTTTAAAGGTTAAGAATGCTTGGGTTTTCTTTCTAGGTCTCTGGATTGGCTAGAACACCTGCAGGTGTCTCCTATGGCTGGCGGCTGGAATCTGGCTTTCATCAGTGCTAAAGACCCAACCTCAGAAAGCCCTGCAAAAAGAATCAGGTGTTGGAGCCTAGCAGTCACGAACCCTATTTTGTTCAGATGGTGAGGAACGGGCATTACCGAGGACTGCATCTGTGGCAGCTGATGTGTCCACTTTAGTCCCAGAAGGAAAAGGACTGTCTTTCCTCTACAATTTGGAGGTGCCGGGGTTTGGGAAACATGAGCCACCTCTTTGAGTTTTTACCATCTGTAAAATGAGGGTGAAAGTATCTACCTTGGGCCAGTGAGATGGCTCAGTGAGTAAAAGGCACTTGCCGCTAAGCCTGAAGACCTGAGTTGCATCCCTAGGAACTGATTCATTGCAAATTGTCCTGTGCCCTGCAGCCATGCACCGTGGTGCTGATGTGTACCCCACACTAAATAAGTAAATAAACAAAGGCAATGGTGATCTACCCTGGAGACGGCATTATCCTTCATTGTTCTGGAATCTCTGTTCGTTTGAACATCATCTGGTTACATAGCTGGCTCTTTTTTTTTTTTTTTTTTTTAATAGTAAAGCCCAGCGTGATGATGCTCACCTTCTCACCTAGGGGTTCACCCAACTGAAATTCACCTCATCCTAGTGCAAGGACATTTCCAAATTGTCACAACACTTCTAAAACTCAGTCTTAACCCTTGCGATGGGTCATCACAGTTGTGCTGCCAGAGCAGAAAGAGTGCGGATTATGATACAGGTCTTGGTTGCAGAACAGTTATGCCCACTGAGATCTCTATCAGTCTGGCAGAGTCACTTTCCTTGTTGGGTCACCTTTCCTGCCTCTGTCAAGTTCAGAGTGTGCCGTAACTACTTCAGAATTTACTGAATAGTGTGTGTGTGGGGGGGAGAGTCTCATTTCCAAACTGTGTACCTGTACCCCAAGAAAGAAGAATAAGGAGTGTCCACATGCACTACATGGGGGAAGATGGCAGAAGAACCTCTTATTTAGACACCACACTCCAGTCCTCCATTGCTGGAATTCATAACCTCGTTGATTAGCCCCTTGCCTTCTAGTTCTGCTAGAACCTGTTTGCCTATCCCTCCTCCCCAACACACCATGTCCCTTTCCCTTGCTGGACTTGATGTCTTTGGCCTTGATGATTCTTGATTCTTCTTCCTGGACCGCCAAGTCATTTTACCACTGTTCATGAAATCATGACCACAAGGCCACCATGTCAGTAAAGCATCCCTGATTGACCTCAGAGCTCTCTAATGTCCCCCACCCTTTCACAGTGGTCTCCACCATCCCACTGTTGGCATATTTGATCAGGTTATAATAAACCTTTAGTCTTAGGAGAAAAAAAAAAAACAGCCAGGTGCGAAGATGATCCTGGACCCATTTAATTCCTGGAGAATTAAAATTCGGTGTCCTGTGCTTTGCTTTCTGAGAGGTTTGCAGAAATTATTCTGAGCAGCTACAAACAAGCAAAGGGCAGATTCAGCAGGAGTGGGAGGTGAGGCCAGTACTGAAACTCAAGATTCTTCCTAAGCTTCCAACTAAAGCTTTTTTTTTTTTTTTTGGATGCTAAGCCTTGTGGCAGAAATAAAGGATTGGGACATATATGTCAAAAGGGAACAGAATTGTTCCTCTAAAATATAGTTCTAAATTCATCAACGCACACCTCATAAGTTTTCCTTGGCTCCCCGTGACACAAGAGAAAACAATTCACACTCAGCCAGGAAAACAAGCCAATGCAGCTATTACCACATGCCATCCTCCCTCCCCACCAGCTCTCCTTTATAGCTCAGCAGTGCCTTCCCAGACCCTGTGGCCCAGTCAGTGCACTGGACTCCCCCTGTCATCCACATCTCTCGTCCCTTAGCCCTCCAGCTAAACTGTTCCCCATTGCTCTTCCCTCTCCAGTGCAACCCAAGCCATCGAAAACATACCATCTCTGTGGCTTGGTCACCTTAGTCAGGATTATGCTGCTTCCTGATGTTGTGGTGACCCCAACCATAAAATTATTTTTGGTGTTACTTCATAACTGTAATTTTGTTGCTGTTCATAATCAGCATGTGAATATCTGATATGCAGGATACCTGATATGTAACCCCTGTGAGAGGATCCTTTGACATTCCCCCCAAGGGGTCAAGACTCACAAATTGAGAACCACTGTCCTGGGGCATGGGTTTGCTTCTTCTCTTTCATTCACAGGACATGACTACCTCCAAGAACTGTGTTCCACTTCTTCTTCTTCTTTCTTTCCTCCCCTCCCCTCCCCTC